GCAATCATAGGGGACTTCTTAAAAAATAAGCCTCTAATCTGACCTTTAGAAGCCGCTCCATGAAAGCATCCTCCCAAGGTGTACATTTAGAGCTCTTTGACTTTTAAAAGCAGTGTCATTAAGCTTAGAGTAGAGCAGACGGGGGACAGCTGATAGCCTGAAAGAATTGCAGGCAGCTGCCAAAAGGTGGGGGAAATAATGTTCTTTTTGGATTCTCCTCACTTCCTTCAGATACTGTCACCCAGTTTGTATATTCATCCCAGTTATTCCAGTAAGGAGATTGTAGGGCTGTGATTGTTTTGCTAAAAGAAGTAATGAGTCATTTTAGTAATTTTCTTCCTGCTGTGAAAAAGTATTTGAAAATGGGCATTTTCCATCAGAAAGCAGCATTTTCTGCACTGGACGCAGCAATTGCTCTATGGATAATATTAGTTCTGCTTTCAAAGACTTTATTGGATTGGGAAGAAAATTGCTAAAATTATTTATTCCTTCCATCAAGAGTGAAATTAATAAAGGATTACAATCCTAGCTGCACAGTGATCAACTAGGTACATCAAAGTACACCTGCATGTGTAAGAAAAGTTACCCATGAGTATAACATGAACAGGATCACAGCAATTATATATAGGGCTGAATCCAGACATAGAGAATTTTTAAAAGTTTTTGTGTTGTTGTGTACTTTCAAGTTGTTTCCAACTTATGGTGACCCTAAGCAGAAGCTCTCATGGGATTTTCTTGGCAAGATTTGTTCAAAAGTGGTTTTCCTTTGCCTTCCTCTGAGCCTGAGAGAGTGTGACTAGCCCAAGGTCATCCAGTGTGTTTCCATGGCCAAGTGGGGATTCAAACCTCTGGTGTCCAGAGTTGTAGTCCAACACTCAAACCATTATCCACACTGGCTCTCTGATTTTTAAAGCAATATCATTGAAATTAGTGCAACTAGTGGCATTTATGTTCCAGTTAAGTTCCACTGATTTTAATGACTCTGTCCTAAATCTCAAGAGCACCTAGACTTATCAAAATTGGTGGAATGCATTCCTTTCAGAATCAGTGCCATAAAGCTTCTTTGATTGTAATGCTTTTGCTCTATTAGAACTCAAAAACCCAATTCATCTAAACATGTATTGAGAGTGGTGCACTTCCTTTTGAGTAATACCTTGCTTTTCAACAAAATGTCACTCCTAATTCATGGTGGATTTTTCTTTTCCAGATGAACCTTGCCAAGGAGATAAATCCATTTTCTGCCAGATGGAGGTACTTGCCCGGTACTGTTCAATCCCAGGCTACAAAAAGTTGTGCTGTGAATCTTGCAGCAAACGTAGTAGCACCCTGCCACCACCTTTCCTGAGCGAAGCTGCAGAAACTGAAGAGGAAATCATGGCCAGCCATGGTGACCCACCTAAGACTTTGGTTGGTCCAACATCTTTACTCTCACCCCAGTCTGAGAGTCCAGGTTCTTTGGGCAGGATGTCCTTGGTAGAAGACACCCATGCACTTATTCCTCAGACCCACAGCAGGGCCAGAGTCATCAGTCCACTGCAGCGAAGAGTGAAGAACCAAGCAAGAAACAAGACTTCTGGGTCAGTGGCAATGCCATACCAGCCACCGACCAAAAATGCCCATCTCCTTACCCATAATTCCTCAGTCTCATTAGATAGCAGTCCAGCCATAGTAGAAAACAAAAGCTCAGCTGATGTTCATTCTCCACACAGAACCTCAAGGAGAAATGAGAAGCAAGCTGACAGGCGGCAGCTTCCAAGGGCTTCAACTGTGGAAAGATGAAACTTAGAAGTGGGGAAAGAGAGGCTTAATGAAACAGAGAAGTTGTCTTGTTGTTTCATTCCCAGTACCATGGTGCATGCAAAATTTCCAAATGCAGGACTCTCAACATTAATAACTGAAATGGAGAGGGGGGGAAAGTGCAGGTTCACTTTGCAGTCAAATCCATCCTTCCCCTCTTTTTCTTTCCTTTCTTCCCCTCCCTCAATATCTGTTTACCTGCATATTTCAAAGGGAAACTCCAAAATGACACAAGAAAGCAGGTAGCTGGGTGGGCTGGCCACTTCCTGCCAACCAGAAATCTATGTTGTACATCAGCTGCTTTAAAAAAAACAACAACAACAACCCAAAAAATATATTAACTGAAAAATAAAGAAAAAATGTTTGAAGGGGCAGGGAATGGGGGAAGGCAACCAATCAGAGGAACCAAACTTACACTTCTACAAAATATTTTTTACCATGGAAAAACAAATTATATTGTTAATTTATATCTATAAAATGATTAATAGTACGAGTCAAAGTTGCAGCTGCCATGTACATAATGTATATTACCAACAGGAGGGAGGTGGGGAAGAAAAGCAGTATTATTTTTCAGAGTTTTGTGTTCTTCAGCCATTCATGTAGGAACTTTACATTTCAGGGTCATGTGTGGGTGCCTGCCATTCAAGTTCTGCCTTATTCACATTCCAAGAGCATGCTTGTCAACTGAGATCCAAAGAGCTCAATGCACACATTCAGCTGTTTCCATATATGTGGTTAAACATCTTCTGGACACTTCTTGGGAGATTTCTAGATTTCTTTCTGCTGTAACAGAGCAGATCTCAAGTGGCTTTTCATGAGCACAGAGTCAGTAGTAAGAAAGAAAGGAGTTAATTCAGAAAATCTGAAGTCTTTGCTTCTGGTTTTGTGCAGAGCTATCAGAAGTCTGATGGTGGAGTGGAAGGTCTGCCTACAGCTCTTTGGATCCCAGCTTGTAGCATTACTGTGAGAGATAATTTCCCATTTGTCTGTCACTTCAGAGAGCAGTTGGATTATGATCACAGTCCTGCAGCACATAGCTTGGGGAATGGTAAGGTATAAAATGTATGTGTTTTGAGATGATTCATTTGTGCCACTTCAGGGGGATGCAACTTGAGTAGTGGAAATGTACTAATGGGTAAACCAAAACTGATTCTCTGTGCCTCCAGGCAGAACAAAGAAAAAAGAAAGATCCAAGCTAAAGCCCCAGCCTATACTTAAGGGGGCTTTATAGAGGCCTAGCATCACAGTGCCTTCTTTCTTTTTCCCTGTCCCACTGGAAATCTACAGGATCAGTTGCACATGGGAGTTGTGCGCAAACCATAGTCCAGGTTGCACACTGAATTCCAAAATTTGCCTATACAACCAACATTGCAAACATACACTATTTATAGTCCTCACGTATGTAAAGTGAGTCAAAAAAGGTGCCTATGCTGAATTTCTCCTGCACTACATTGCACCCCTTTACATACAGGTGAGTTCTGTGCCAGGTAAGCTGCAGGTAAGAAAAGAGCCTAAGGAGAAATGAGTGTAAAGGCTGAGAAAGTCCTGTATGGGTACAGCCCCATTGAGATGAGTGGTAGCTGCACAAGAATCTTGGCCCTACCATTAGGCAGAGTGAGCAAAGTGCTTTGGGCAGGGGATGCTGGTGGGCAGCAGCAATAGTAGCCACTACCTATTACTCCTGAACACACCATTTTCCTCTTTTGAGGGGCAGGGTTGTATACATCAAATGGCTTGTACTAAAGCTACCTAAATTAGTCTGCTGCTGTCACCTGTGATAATGGCATTGTCCTGTCAACAGTTTTGAAGGAAGCATCAACTGCTGATCCAGTTCAGTCCGGCAGATGAATTGATAGGGAGCACTATGCCCTTTGCCCGAGGCTGCCAAAAATCTTTGACATAACTCACTGACATAGCACATGGTTCTGTAGAGCACAGAATAAGCCAACACTATTGAAGCTAAGCAATGCCAAGTGTGGCCAATACCTACATGGAAGTACTGCTTAAGAAGCCTGTGAATTAAATTCCATAAAAAAAGTGGGATGTAGCAGTAAAACAAGAAGTGCTTTACATACACAAGGTCCCAGACTCTAGCCTTGGCATTTGAAATAGCAGAGTTGCAAGAGGCCTTGGAGAGCTGGTACTAGGGGGCTACTGATTTAGAAAGACCAGTGGTCTGACTGAATATAAGGCAGCAGCTTATGGTCATAGAAGAAGGATCTAGATTTGCATGTGAGCACATCAGTGTACCTATACCACTCCTTCCCCCCCCCCCCCCAAAAAAAGTGTTCACTCATGAGAAGCATCAGCCATATTTTTCTTCTGGTGCTACAGTCAAAATATAGAAGTACTCAAAGACAACCTTACAGTTTTATTATTATTCTTTCTGCTAAATAGCCTGTTAGACATTTGTCAAGCCAAAAAGCATCTCCAGACAAACAGGCATGAATGATGAGACATAGATGTGGCATTTTCAGATGAGGCTGAACATGAACATATACATTAATGGATCTCAAGGTGTGGGAGGAGGATGTTTTGCTACCCACACCACCACATTTATCTGTGATAAATTTGGGTCACTATGGAACATGTCCACCATTTCTGTGAGGCAGGTGTACTCTCTCCTGGGTTTTGCTGTAAAGTACTTGTATATAGGAATGAAAAGTAAAGCTATTTATTAAAAGTATGTCATTGATGGTGGTGGTGGTTGGTTTTTGTTTTTTTTTGGTTAGTAGTTTATGTACTGAATAACACACAAAATAATGGCTTTACTCCCTGATTACAAATGTATTGCAGGGAAACATGACACAGTTGCAATCTAAATATCTTATTATATGCACATCACTGATGGGCTATAGCTCATATCCTATTAAAATACACATACTAAGCTTAAATCAAAAGTAATTTTAGCAAAGCAAATATACTTGGCTACATTCTTTTTCCAGCTGTGTAAATGGTCACACATTTGTTTTGTTTTTGTTTGTTTGTTTGTTTTGGGCCCTTGAAATACTGCTGGTAGTGAAATGGGTTGTGTAACTGGCTGTTGTTGCTTTGTGCCTTCAAGTCATTTCTGACTTAGGGTGACCATAAGGCGAGTCTATCATACAGTTTTATTGGCAAAAGTTGCTCAGAGGAGGTTTTCTGTTGCCGTCCCCTGAGGCTGAGAGCATGTATCTTGCCCAAGGTCATTCAGTGGGTTTCATGGCCAAACTGGGAATCGAACCCTGGTTCCCAGAGTTATACTCCAGCACTCAAACCACTGCGCCACAATTGGAATAGAGATTCCATCTCTTGTGCAGAAATCTTCATCTCAGGCCTGAATCCTACTCTTAATCTCAATTAGACTGATTAAATCAATGGGGTTTATCTACATGCTGAAGCCTCCATTCAGCACTTGATTCAGTGGATTGATCCTAGCTCAGACTAAGGAGTCAGGTTCTCCAAAAGTTCAGCATCATTTGCACTAGTGTAATGAAAATAATGGATACTGGTCATAGAGGCCCAATTATGACTGCTGAACACTACTAGGCACAGGATTGTGGAAATGCTCCTGTGTCTATTCTATTTTGTACTATCTCCATATCTCTTGGGGGGACTTTATATGACAATGGGGGCATGATGTGATTAGATCGGAGGAAGTCATGACTGTGGGTTTCATTCAGAACCTCTCCAATATCCTCTCCCAAAATCTGAGCAATGCTAGTGTGGATATTCATGGATACATGCAGAGAAGGAGGGGAAACATAGGGAAGCACACAAGTTACAATGAACTCCAGCCCACCTTTTCAACCCATTGTGCTTTGCTGATTTCTCTACCAGAGCAACTAACATACTCTAGTGAACTGGTTCTCAACCTTTGGTCCTCCAGCTAGTCAAGAATGCTGGGACCTGAAGCTCAAAACATCTGGAGAACCAAAGTTCAGAAATTGCTGTTCTAAAGTTTGGAAGGAGAGAGGAGCACTGACAATTCGCCACTAATGGAGAGATAAGATTTGTTGTACCATCACTTCAGCTTCAGCCTAGGGTGAGCCTATGAGAGAGACTTCCAAAAGTCCCAGTCATCAATTGCCCTTCTCAGCTCTTGCCTGCTCAGAGCCCATAGCTAGCTTGATTGAGTCAATCCACCTGTAATCTAGTCTCCCTCTTTACTAAACATTATACTATTTTCCAGTGAGTTATCGTAATATTTTAAAACTATGGTAGCTTCTTAGTCATTCTGGCTTCTAAGGACAGTTCAGGTTTGATTTCTTCTAGGATGAACTTACTCATCTTTTTGTGGTCCATGGTATCTGCAGAACATTCTTTGAGCACTGCATTTCAAATGAGTTACTTTTTTTTCTTGTTAGCATTCTTCATTCTCCAGCGTTCACATCTGTACATACACACTCTCCAACTATCCCTTGAGAGTTGGGGGGGGGGAGAGAGACTTGAAGGCCCTGATCCCTCCTTCTTCTCATCTTCCCAATCTTTTCTATGTGTAAAATTTACACATGCATTGAGTTAAATATTGGATTTATTGAAATATAAAACTTCAAAATTGAATGGTGTTAGTTCCTTAGAAATTGTGAAAATATGAACATATATGAATGTGTGAAATTCATGCACACTAAACAAATATGCACACTAAACAAAATATTTACATTTGTATACTATATTGGGGGTGTGGCATCTACATCTAGATGTCAAAGGGGGTTCCAATGATAGAAAGTATGAGTCCCACTTTGATAGGCAGCTTGAACACACACACACACACACACACACACACAAGGATATTGCCAAGAACACTTATTTTAAAGAAGAATAGTTGGTTTTGTGTGCCTTCCAATTATTTCAGATTCATGGCAACCCTAAAGTGAACCTGCCAAGGATTTTTGTTGGAAGAATTTGTTCAGAAGGGGGTTGCCCTTGCTTTCCTCTGAGGCTGAATGTGACCTGCCCAAGGTCAGGTTTCCATGGCCAAGCAGGTCTCCCAGTTTCCAACACTCAAACTATGCACTATGCTGGAAGAATGCAATACTATAGAACAGTAATATATACCCTCAAACTGTCCTGATTTAGCAGGGAAAGTACCAACTAACCCTTTGTCATTACACTTTCCCAGATGTTTTTAAAACATCCCAGATTCTCTCTCCTCCCACTTTCTCCCTTCATCCTCAGCCTACCTCCATTTCTGCAAACTCAGTACAAAATGTCAACATCATTTGCCCTCAGTAAAGTCAGCAGGGGGAGAGAGGAGAAGGGGTTGGAATCTTGTCTTTCCCAGTCAGCTCTGGCAAAAGCCAACTGCTGCAGCCTCTCCTACCTTTCTTCCTCATAATCACTTTTGTCGTCTTCAGCACATTCTAATATTGCTTGACATGTATCCCAGGATTCATTTGTGAAATGTTGCAAGGTGTGGCAGTATTGCAGATGGATTAATATCCTATGAAACAATTCATTCAAAAGCTGAAGAAAAGGAAGGAGGGAAGGAAGGAAGGAGAGGGAAGGAAGGAAGGAAGGAAGGAGATAGATAGATAGATAGATTAGATAGATAGATAGATAGATATTGCATTTCTTACAGTAACTTAAAGGAGCATGCTTCCAATATTAACTTTCTGGGTTCTCCTGTTCCCCCTACATCCTCCTTATAAAACATCCTCATTTTACTTTGCATCCATCCACCATTCCTTTCCCATATCACTGCTAACCTTATGCAGTTACAGAGCATTTCTTTCAAACTGTACAGCTCTCTATGCTAGTACATGAAACCTCCACCCCTATCTACCACATGTGTATTATCATCTGTGGAGTGTTCAGGTGAACCACTTCTATTTTATAGGATTAGACAAATATCAAAGATAGTTAGGGTCCTTTTCTGGTGGCTTTTTTTCCTTTATGGAATTTATGGAATTTCCAAAGACCTGTCATTTTTTTCAAGAGGCGGGGGACAGGGGGAATCTTGCTTAGACCCTTGGCTAATATTTTTTCTTAAACATTTTTCTGCCTTTTATGCTTATTGTTATGCTACTAAGAGTTTTAATCTTTTTTTCATAAACAAAAATGAGTCCCTGCTTTTTTCAGAATAGGAAACAGAATGTACATTTTAAAACAAATAGGTAGGGCAAGTTGCATCTCCAGCTGATTGAGATCATGTTTAGGTCCCACACTAGGTGCAGTGCTGGGACAAAGATGACCTCCAAAAGCAGATGCATCTGAGGAAGTAGGCTCAAGTCTACAAAAGCTCCTGCTACCAACTTCTCTCTTTCAGTTATAAGCTTATCCTTGTTTTGAAGGAAAAATCGGCTGCCAGGAATGGCTTGGGAATGTATCAGGGACTCCCAGCGGCATCGGTGGCATTCTCCCTTGAGTAAAATGTGTTTTTGCTCTGTTCCATTCCCTTGCGTTCCGTTCTGTTCCATTCCCGTTCTTCAAAGTGCCATGTGTTAAACTTATTAGTCTCAAGGTACTGCAAGATCCCTTTGCATACTGATTTTCCAGACTCACACAGCTATGTCTTTGAATTCCAAAAGCAGAGTGAATAGAACTGTTCTTGCAAGATATGCTACTTTTGGACAAAAACCCTTTCACAGGTCAAAGGAATCATCATTAGGTAAGAAGCATCTGAAGATTGTTTCTAAGAACCAAAGAAACTCATAGGATGTCCCTTCAGAATGTTTCACAACCAAGGTCCTTTATTCCACGTGTCTCTCTCTTTTTATGACTCATGCATAGAAAATGGTTTTCAAACTTACTTTGGAAGGGAGGGATAGTGGATTAATTTGTTTTTGTTTTGTTTTTTTGCTTTTCCAAAAGTAAATCCCATTTTTTATTAAAAGTGTAGACTATTGAAACCACCTCCTATACCTGCAATACCTAGCAATAAAGACTTCAGTGTAAATCCATCCTCCTGCAGCAATAATTTCTGCTACCCTTTACTGTCACTTCTCGCCCTTTCCATGGAGATGAGATTGCATGCTCTAGTGAGGCAAAGGTCTATGCCAATGGAAGTACTGCTGCTGGTAAGGTCTCAAATCTCAGGTAGACTTTTGCTGAGGAGCCAGACAAATAATCCAGGTTGACACAGCTTCAACTGCCATGCTCAGTGCTATGGAATTCTGGGAATTATAGTTTTGTGAGATATTATTTAGCCTCTGTCAGAGAGCTCTGATACCACAACAAATTACAAATATTACAAATTTGTAATTACAGATATCAGGATTCCACAGGATAGGGCCATGACCGTTAAAGCATTGTCAAACTGCTTTAATTCTGCAGTGCAGATGCAGCCCAAATGTGTCAAAGACCTACTGGGCAGCAGAAATAGTTGGGCAGGGAGTGATGCTGTCAGAGAATCTCTCAGAGACAATAGCAGTGGCAACCAACTCTTGTTACTACTTCACAGAAATAGGCACCATTAGAACATGTGTTTGAATGTCTTTTACAGACTGTACTCTATGATGAGAATTCTACATATCCCTTCCAAAAATGCAAATCCCAAGATTCCATTGGATGTTGCCATGGGGAGTTATAGCATTATAATTGGGCATTGTGAAAAGGCTTCTGGACTTATTTGAAATCAAATCTCCATCCAGCACCACCAAGCAGTCTTTGTGTGTATGTGGCTACAGATGGATTGTGACAGAAATATGAAAAGCTTCCTTGGCCGAATCAATTCCCTGGACGCCACATGTCGATTCAAGTTTTAAAAAACATAAAAGGGAAAGACAAGTCCCTCCTTTAATATTATAAAACTGTTTGCAGTCTCCTAACCACATACCTGCAGCTTTGATCTGAGCAATCAATGAAATACTTGAGTCTCCCTAGGCAGCTTTGTGACGCTCCTTTTCAATATTGCAATGTCTGTTCTCTTCTTCCCCCAATGTGTTTATGAGGGATGCTACAAGGACCCCAATTCTTTGAACAGCGAGAACTCTATGGGTTCAAAGTCACCCAGCTTTGATTTATTTTTCTTTTGAAAGAGGGGTTCACTGAAAAATTAATAAGATTTTGTAAAGTCCACATTTCTTTACAAAATATACATGCTGAGCATAAAGCAACCCACACCTTCTAGTGAGTTTAGAAATCTGCAGTTTGGATTAGTTCAGCAGCATTGTATGGGTATATATCCCAGGTCCCATTCAATTTGATGAAATGTCGAAGTACATCCTCACGAGGCTGGGGTGTTAACCAGTGTTATGATGGTTAGAGTGTGCAAGAGCTTCTTGGCATGCTACATAGCATGATGCTAGTTAACCCTTCCCCTGCAGCCACATGGGGATGCCCTTGGCCAGTTCAT